CACCGGCTGCGAGTGGGTGCTGGGGTGGGCAGCAGGACCGGGCCGGGAGGCACCACAGGCTCAGGCCCGGCCGAGGCCAAACGGGGCTGGGAGCCGGAGCCGTTCCCCCCCCGGGGAGCCGTCTGCGGCCCCCGGCTTGGCCTTGGGCACCTGGTAGTTGGGATTTGCGGGGTTTTGCGGGGGTCCTGTTAGCGGTCGTAAAAAAGCAGTGAGCTGTGGGGGGTGCGCTGGGGAGGTGCTGGAGGATAAGACAATTAAAATTGTTTAACCAGCAGTGCAAGACTGACACGTGCAAATAGGTATAACCTGCCCTTGGCTTTCTGGGAATATAATTGTGAGTGGTTTTTTAAAGCTATACTTAGTAGCCAGAAAGATTTTTTTTTTTTTTTTTTAAATCTGACCCTAATTTAGCCTCAGGATTTAGGGAGGGGGAGTCAGGTAGTAATGGGATTTCTATTTTGAGTATGAGGAGCGGATGTTATTGGTGTTAGAGCATGCTGCCAATGGGTCCCCTCAATAGGGGAATATGATTCTAAGGTTTTTTTTTTTATACTGCAGATGTGTGGCTATTTTTACAAATTTTTGGAAACACAAACAAGGCTGACGGTAGAGTAGCAGCCTTTTTGAGGTAATAGTGAAATACTGCTCTTCTAAAATCTAGTGCTTGAGGCCATAGTGGTAATATGCTGCAGATTTTTTTTATTACAGTGGGAGAAAGCACTGCGGCAAAGTTTAATTCTGTACAAATATATCTGTTCCTTGAATGCAATATACAGGCAGAGTCCTAAACACTGAGAAAATCCGTGTGCATTGACAGATGCCTTTGATGTGAATCAGACATTCCCAGTAAGTGATTCGCCAGATGGCACATCAAAGGAAGTTACTCAAATTGCATTTCAGGGCTTCAGCTAATCTCTAAAGCGTGTGGGCTACCATCCAGGCTGTAACATTTTGCATGAGTTAGTTGTCCTGTATTACCTTGTCTAAATGTGGTTATTTTCTCTTCCTTTGTCATCAAGCAGTACCAAAAAACAGGATGGAGGTCAGGAGGGAATAGTTTTGAACTGTGCTTGCCTCCAAATTTGGGGGTCCTGACTATTTCTTTGAAGAAGGCCAATGTTGGCAGGACCAGATGTATGGGCGTGACCCTGTTTTGGTCCCCATTTTCTTTGCTGTTGTCCTCTGTTGTCCATTATCTCTCTCTGTTGTGCCCATTGCCTTCCTACCTTCTTCACAGCAGGGGAAGGTACTCGGTGCTGATGCTCAAAGATGCAGATGAATGCTATACAAGTGAGGTAAACTTAACCTGGTGCGATGATGCTACCTGAGGCTCCATCCACATTTAGAAAAGCTGACACCCACCCGCTCCCTCCAGTTGATGGTAATGAGAGCCTTCATGGTCTTGGGAGCAGAAAATGTTGATGGCTTTGAAGGAGCCCGTTCATCTGCAGCCTAAGCTACATGGTTTTGGTCAGTTAGATCTGAAATCCAGCATCTATCTAGCCCCAACAATTCTTCTTTCAAGATTTCTCAGGGTTTACTTGCACTCTAAATATTTGTTTTGCTGGATTGGGATCCAGCTCCTCATTTCTTCAGTTATCTATTCCTGATGCTCCCATTTGGATGTGCAGTTCAGTCATTCTCTCAGCATTCGGAGAAGAATAGTCTCCCTTTGGTATATCAGTAAGTGCATTTTATAGTGGAGGACGTACATTAGCCATTACATGTCTGAGCTTCATCTCCTGTGATTTAAACCTGGAGTGGGTAGAATCTAACATTATCACTTACACGAAGCCCAAATTTACACAGCCATAATGTATGACTAATCTCTGAAATTTTGCCAAGTGCTGGGGAGGCATTATCCAGTTTATTTGTATGCACCTCTCTCTTTCAAGATCTCTTTAAACACTTCACAATAAGATTTCCAGAAGGATAAAAGTTACTTAAATGAAACCAGCATGTACCAACCTGCCTGTTGCTGCAAGGAAGGTGGAATATTCAGAATATTCAGCTTTTTTTCAGGTAGTGATCTGTATCTGCTGTACTGGGTCCCATAGTTGCTGATTTTGGGTGGAGACTGATTATCTGATCTCTTCCTATTTTGAGGGGTCCTACAAGCTTAAAAATCATATTTCAAAAGTGAAGTACATTTTGTTTGGCTGATAATTCTGCTTTACGGAAGGTGGATAGAAAAGGGAGTTTTATAAAATCAGTTTGCTTTTCAAGAGTTACCCTAGTTGTTTATCTTCTGATTTTTTTTTTTCCTCATCCTAGACAAGGAAAATAGCTGAGCCAGTTTTGTTTTTACTTGCAGCCACTTTCCCCTTCAGGCTTGCGATGCTGGCATGTTTGTGGGGGCCTTTTTCATGTGGCGTAGAACTGAATTTACTACAATCACTTTGGCTGCATTCAGCAGCCTCTGATTTCCCTTGTTTGTTTACTGGTTTGCTTTGAAAAGGGGCATCAGAAATTTTTGTCTCTCCCCTTCATGCCCGCACTCCCCACCCAGGTCTTCATTGTGTGATCTAGCTGGTTTATAGGAGACATGAATCTGCACAGTTTCTGTTGGGGAAGTTTTACTAAACTATATATGGGTATATAAAGATAGATGCACAAAACTGCACATCCGTTACCACTGCATACAGATGGGATTGTGAGTTTGGCTCTGGCAAGTAGCACAGTGTCGTCCCCCCCCCTTCTTCTGTGCCTGAAATAGGTATGCCTATTCAGCTCAGTTAATTTGTATGCTGGGAAGTGCCGTGTTTTTCTTGGTGTTTGAGCGTGAACCACAAATGCACATGATAATTTGAGTTCCTGAAACTTACCTGCATTTAATACTTAACCATCTCCTCTCTCTGTTTATTGAGAGGAAGTAACAAGCAAGTAGTAAAATCTAAGGAGGCCTTAGAAACTTGAAAGAAGTATTTTAGTGACTCACACTGGTGGCCTCTTGAAATCTTCCACAGTGTAGCAGCACCTCTGGCAACAGCACTGGGACCTTGAGGTCTGGCACTCACGGCCAAGTAACAGCAGCTGAACATCACTGTTGGCAGCGAGGGACAAACCTAGCATGGCTGTCCAACTGGGACGGGATGTTTTATATGGTTGCAAAAAACTAGCCTGGCGTAAGCCGGCCCTGCGCAGCACGTGAGTTCCCGTTCAGGTATTAATGGTGGGATTAGCTACCAGATTTATGCACTGAAAGAAGACAGAACAGAGCAGAAAGGTGTACAGCAACTCCTTTCTTCCGAAATGGGACGCAATCTGCAGCAGAAAGGGGGTCATTTGTTTTTGGGAGAAGCTGCCCCACTCAAAAAAAGAGACTGAAAGACAGCAAAAAACATGTCAGAATATCTTTAAAGAAAGATTTCTCCCTACAGCAAAGCCTTTTCCTCATTGGGACTTATTAAAATATAGACATTTTCTCCAAAGGAAAGAAAAGTACAAAGCACACCATCAAAGCAGAATTTCAAGCTATTTCATTCTGATAACATTCTTTTTGGAACGGACACCGGATGGTAAGGAACATTGCTTTTAAAAGTTCATACTACATGCCTCCCATGTTTGAGGAATTACGTGTGAAATAAATCACACTGATTTCCCAACTGAAAAAAGTGCCCAAAAAGGCCATAAACGGACTGAGAATTGCCGTCTATAACTAATTAGCTGCTTTGGTGCCTAATCCTATGTGCTAGGGTTTTAAAAGTTTTTAATTTACATAAGCAGAGACATAAAAAGAACAGTGTTAAGCTGTGGTGGCAAATTCAGTCCTCTGCCATATCCAAGCATGTGGGAGAGCAGTCCCAAGCCCTGCGGGAAGCAGTGGGGCTGTGCTTCCCCTTCCCCTCTTCTGCCACATCCGTGACGTCTGTGCCGGGGGCAGAGGGGACTCTGCTTTTGGCAGTAATATCTTTTGTCAAGGAGGTGAGAGCCGGTTGCCTTTAAAGCAAAGGTATTCCCTTCTCCTGGAGTTTGCACTTGGCTTTGAATAGATGTTATCAGCGTCATAGGGAATGCACAGCAAGTGGCCATGTTCAGGGGTGGATCACTTTTCACCCCTGTTTAAAGATCCCTTGTGTGATGGAAAACAATGTCAGGGTGTATTTATCTGCTTGCAAATACCAAGTAGAGAATTTTCCTCTCGGGTGGGAATGTTATGCTGGTGCTTCTGTATCAAAGATGTACCCTTGTTATAAGGAACATGCTGAGGAAGAGAGAATTGCATTTCTACAGAAGGGATAAAGCATGGCAGAAGTATGTTTCACCTCTTTTATGGGCAAAATATCCACTAAAGGCCATGTGATAGCAGCTCACATGAGAGTTGTCAGGAATCTGCCTTTAAAGTATAGCCTAACTCAACAAAACGTGAAAACAAAGCAGAACGAACCAAACAGGCAAAGCCTCCACCGGTTCCTGCTAGGGCAGACACCAGATATCACACAAGAACACAGAAGACAGTGCAGACCTATGTCTTTAATGGCATCTGAAAGTATATTGATTTTATTGGATGTTTAGGGACAATTTGCTTCTATTCCTTCATGCTCTCTCCTCTTTCCTCCTCTTTTCTGATATTCACACGAGCAGTTAATTTTCTAGTTTGCATTACGTGTAAAGGTCTGGAGGATCAGCTATTGCTGTCCTGGGAGAATGACTGGTAGGCTGGAGGTTCCTGCAACTCGGCAGGACACTGAATGGGAGGAATTAATGGGGCTTTCAGAGTAACTGGAGAGGGGTTTACTTAAACCAACAGGCTTCCTGTATGATGAAGAGAAGGAGGACGTGGTCTACACTAAAGGGATGGACTTAGAAGGAAAGTACAGAGCACTTATTAGTTCCTAAGCGCTAGTGAGATGAAAGAGCCTGGTTCTCTCCTGGTGTTTTTAGCTTTGCTGGCAATGTTCAGTATTCACGTCGAGCAACAGCTCAAACTGGGCAAGAAAAGCAACATGGCTGCACAGCCGTTCTGAAGTCCTGTGCCTCTTCCACAACAGGTTGTATGTGTCAAGGACAGCAATTTTTTAGACGCAGAGGGTGAAATTCACCTGAGCACATGGGGCCAGCATGAAGGCAAGGCATCGTTTGTCCCTTGTTGCAGCCCTACTCTTGTCTAAATGGTACTTATTGTGAGAGTGTTAGGGGCTAGCTTGCTGCAGAAATAGGCCTTTATTTACACCTGGTGCAAAATGGCCTATGTTATAACAATGTCTTCTGTAGTGCTAAATGAGGCATGAGTACATTGTCCTGCAAAGGCCAATTTTATTTTTGTTGTTATAATGAATTTGCAGTTGCTAAATCTGCAGTGCTCAGAGCAAGGTGATGGATCATCTTTACTATTTACCACTTTGAAGGCACTGAGTGTGAGCACGTGAGCAGATTCAGCTAATGGTTTTACGCACAAAGCAGATTCTTTTCAAAAGAAGGCTCTGACGTCAATGACATGTTCTCATTCGCAGGGGCTAAAAAGTGCAATGAACTAAAGATATATATGCAGGTAGCAAACAAATAGACAACACCATGATCCAGCTAATTTTAACAAATATCTATCCTTGGAAAAATTAAATAAGAGGCGCAGTCCTTGGGAAATATCGTGCTCCTGCCACTGCCACATCTGCAAAGAAAGCATAGGAACACTTACAATTTGAAAGATAAGTAACAGCTGATATGTAAAAAGATTCTCAAAACAGATGTTTTCACATACACGTCTGTCTTTGAGGCAGTAGGTCTTGAAGGCTGTGTGAGTAGACACGTCCAGCTCCGTATGAGGCTGGAAACTGGAAGAACGTGTCTTCACCAAAGTAAAAAGAAGTATTGTGGCATAGTGCTTTCTATCTTTTCCTCAAATTTCTTGCCCTCAGATGGCTGTTAACTTTATATAATTTGCAGCCAAGGATCCTCCCACAGGGAGCAGGAACAGAGCCCAAACTGATCCCATTGAAATGGGGTTTGCTTCCATCTCCAGACTGACTGATTCCTATGTTAAACTCAGGTGAGCCTTCCCGGTATGTGAAATTTCCTCTGCAGTTTCTCCCCAAAGCTTACATGAAAGCTCCCGTGCTACCTGAGATTCGAGTTAGGGCACGTTGTCAGCTTCCCATTCTCTGTTGAAACATTTTATCCTAAACTAAAGCTATTTGGTTAGATCAGTAAATTTAGTTGAGAAATGTCTGGAGGTGAAACCATTAGCAACAAGAGAATGATTCATCCCTTACAAAAATGTGAGCCCTCAGAGACGTAGCCTGGAGAAGCCTGTTTTCTATGGATGACTTTCTAGCCAACTATCGAGATGACTGCCAGTAAAATTCAGTTGGTGGCACGTAAACCAATATGGTGCCAGTTATGTATGAAAGTTATTACCCCTAAAATGGTTAAAGATGTAGTTGTTCTTCACCAACTTAGCGATGCCACGTAGTAAGGTAACTTAGAAGGAATGCCTAAAAATTTGTGTGACTGGGGTGATGATGAGAAAAACCTGTTCAGATTAGTAATGTGTGTACTGCCTGCATGAAAGCTGCCAACGAAGTTCTGGGTGCTTCAGTGCCTGTGGGTGCCAATCGCCTGTTTAAATCAATTCAGCAAGAGCGCGTACTTGTCTGTGTAGCAGGCAGATGTAACAACACACATATGTGTGTGAAAGAACATGTTCCTAACTAAAAGTGTGGAGAGAGATGTATGTTTGGGGAGAGACTTTGAGCGAGACAAAGGGCAGCTGAGGAGTGACAACTCACTCGTGCCTTTCAAAGCTCCCTCCTGGGCTGGTATTTTAAAGATGGAAGTTGATACAGGTCTGGAAGAGACTGTATGACAGAGCAGGGGTATTTTTAAAAAATTAAGACTGCAGTGTGAGTGTCCATACAATGAAACAAATGAAGTAAAAATGGCCTTCATGTTAGGTAGTGGCTTGCTTTTGCTTGCATTTTCCCTCACAAAATCTAATGCCTATATATGCAAATAGGATGACTCAGTGTTGCAGAGATTGTTGATGGACAGGGTCAGGCAAGACATTCCCGAATAGGGAAAAAATAAGAGAAAGCAGGATTTTAACTTGTTGGTTAAAACTGCCTATTGCGGGCCTTAGTGCACAGACACCGTTTGCACAAAGTTATTTGGGAATTATCATAAAAACGTGAGCCTCTGTGTCCCAGATCAGACTTGGGTAACTTCCCCTCTGGGTCCGAGTTAGCTGCTTAAAGAACCTGTTATGAAAAATTTACTTGCTGTTTCTTGCATTTTCTTTAAACAGCCTCATTACATTTTGATGGCACTGTACAAACATGCGGTTAGAATCAAGTGCTAGAAATAGCTTCCTAGAACTCAAATTGGTTTTTAAAATAATCGAGTAAATATGTGCATGTGTGTCAGTCATGCATGCATCCAGGCAGAACTAGTTATTTTTATTCTTCCAGATGAAATTGTCTGTAAAAACATGAGTTGTTATTTATTGTTACCATTATTTATAATTTAAAATGCTAACAGTAACATGAAGTGTTGTCTCAGCTCATTTAACAGGCCGTGAAATGGTCAGAGGGATGATAGAAATCTCTGACAAACCAACCTCAGGTAAGATGTAGTTACTCATATTTGTTACTCAACCCCTGCTTTTTCATAATGGTAAGTAAAAATGGGTCGTCTTATTAGGCAAAAAATACTATCATTATCATGAAATGTTTCTATCTCACATTGAGGAGAAAATAGATATAGCCCAATGTCATCCCTTCCCCATGGTTTGACTTCAAGGGGAACTGGAGTAACAGGAAAAAACAGCTGGACTGGCTTCCCACAGTGAAACCATGGTGAGCTTGAAGAAGGTACGCTGCCTGTTGCCTCGGCTGTGGGGCGTTCACAGGGCATAGTGTCCTTTGTAGCACGTTTCTCTCCTTACATCCTTCTACCTTAGGAAAGAGATATTTTAGTCCCTCTTACATGTGAATGGACAATTTTGATCCAACACTGGAGTGATTCAGCAAAAAATGATCACCTGTATAAAAGACATAGTCTCTGACACTGGGCTTATGCCCAGGAACAGCCTTACGTCCCTGAGTGGGGCCCCAGAATCAGCCGTGCCATGGCAAATACTTTTTGTTGCGTTATGGCTCTTTTGAAGTTTCGTGGAGGCAAGTTATTTCACAGTGCTGTTGCAATCTGAGGGGGAGAGGGAAGGGCACTGCCTTGCCTCTGGTCACTGCTGGCAGGAGAAAACCACAGCTGAGTTTGGATTTACGGGGAAGTTTCTTGGAGACACAGGTACTAGGGATGCTCGGAATCGAAAATTAACTGGCAGTTCTAAAAATTTAAATCCTTTTATCCCTATGGATGTATTTCTTTAATCTAAGCACTTGAGCATATGAACTGCTCAATAGTTTTTTGGTATCTGTTTCTGTGAGAAACAGGACATAATTGCAAGCCAGGTTTTCCCTCAGGACCGGAGGCTTAAAACCTCCGATAGAGATTTCCAACCACATATGGTTATTATGTTGCTTTTAAAAAGCATATTGATAGTAATGAGATATTCTTTGGTTTTTACTGTGTTATTTTCATGAAATAACATTTGCCTTAATCCTTCTTGTTTTAGCGCTCTCTCTTTCTTGGCCTGATCTGTATGACAAATGCCTGTTTATGCAGCTGGTACCCAACTCAGGACTTAGAAAAATGCAGAAAAAACATATCTTTGTGACAAGGCAGGAGGAACTACAGAGCTATAGATGGTTACAGCCCTAAGTGTAACTGGGAAAACTATTGGGACAAGCCAATTGCTTACTGATGAGAAACATTTCTTAGGGCAAAGCGAGAGTTTGCAGTGAACTATAGAGTCCTATCCATGCCCCTTTGAATATCCTCCCTGGGACAGGATCAAAACAATCCAAAAAGTGTGTGAAATGCAAATAAATACTGTTTGATTCACTAGCCCTACCAGACATGGGCTATTGTGCCTCAGTTATTTGGGACAACAGCTGTCACCTCAAAATGTGCCTTAGTAAGGGACAGTCGCTATTTACTTCCTTAGCAATGCTGCAGTGCAGGGGGAACTTGAACGCCTGTGGCTGCCCAGAGGGCGGCTTAATTTGCTTGACTTTGAGACCACATTGCTGTGCCTTTTTTCTCTCTCCCTAGATGCCTACACTCCAGTACTTGGAAAAAAACAGCCCAGGCTATAAACTCACTTCAGGCAGAGACCATTTGCCAAGTATTGTATTCTGCAGAGATATTCTAAATCACAGGGGAAAAAAAGGAGACCATCTGCAAATACTCAGCCTGTATCCACCTTCAGACAAAAAATCTGATGCTGATCCCAAGAGCTAACTGGAGAATCTCTCCTTTTTCCTGGGACATTGCTGTCAGAAGTGGGCTTACATCTGCTTTCCCAGCAATAGATGGTAGTCCTCTGGCTGTCAAAAGAAAGGTGATTTTCTGTCATTATTTTCTCATATAGGAGTTTATCTTTGGATTTGTGATATTCTCAGTGCACTTACTCCCTGTTTCAAAGTTAAAATGACAATCCATTTAAATAATCCAGTGACTTTTCACTTGCCTGTGCAAGATCAGTTAGGAAAAATCATAAGAGATCTGACCCTAAAACCGGAACATATAGTGCCCAGTTAGATTCTCCCATGACACAAAATGGTGACTTCAACCAGCAGGCTGCCCAGCAAACATTTGGATGCAACTGTCTCAGATGGATATTTTATACACCAAACGCCACCTGCAGTAAATGCACAGGAAATCAAAGCAGGACTGTATAGGAATTGAAAAGAATTAAAGATCATTTCGTTCCCTCAACTGCTGTGGAGATAGGAAGTCACATAGAAAAGAGAGACTATATACATTTCTAAACTTAAGGAAAGCCTGCAAAACTTATGCTTTGTTAGACGCTGTGTGTCCACATTAAGTGTCTTGTCAGCTGAAGGAAGGCTTCTAGTGAAGCTGTCAATCACCTGTGAGGATCCTTGTCCAACAGGATACTTCTGATGGGGTTGACTCTGTACTTATGTGGGGACCACATGTGAATTGGCTTCAAAACCAATGCCCTTGGTCTCCCAAGCAGAAACAGAGGAATACATGTGACTGGTCTACCTCAGTTAACCACACTTCATAACTTGTCTTGTGCATGAGCAACTTTAAGACATATAGGATCATCAAACTTCAGTTTAAAGTCATGCAGTGTTTAATTTCATTTTTAAGGTTTTCAGGTTTGATCTCAGAAATGGTTTTCCAAATTTAACATGGGGATGGATTTTTTGTAACTTATTTCTGTTATGAAATGTATTTTGAGTGCATTTATCTCATATATGGTGATTTGAAGAGGCTACAGTAATTTAATCTGGAGGCACTTCAAGATGGGATTGACATCAGGAATACTGGGAGGAGCCAGTTTCTGGACTCTTACCTGGAAAAAGGAAAAACAATTCCTTGTGCTTTTTCAGCCTTTTACAGTTTCTTTTAGAAATCCTACAGGAATACAAAATGATCAACAAAATAGTTCATTGAAGCACCTGGTATCAATGTTTTGTTGATGGCATCACAGAGAGACATGGCCCCAGTGCCATTTGGAGCACTAGAGCAGTTGAAGGAGGACTGCAGAATATTAAAAAACCTTGAAGAAGGTTGGAGGAGTTGAAGGAGGACTGCAGAAGATGAGCAAGCTCTCAGGGTAAAATTAATCTGAGAACACCTGGAATTTAAAAAAAAAAAAAGAAAAAAAAAAGTTAAAGCTATTCTGGCCTCTGTGTCTAATTATCAGAGAAAGGTAAGGATGATGCATCCTAGCTAATTTAGGCACCTGTATGTTTTAGGATGACATCTTCAATGACTGACTCCATGACTACCTTAAAGAAGATACCTACTTCACACTGCTCAGTTAGATAAAACAGAGCCTACAAACTTTTCTCTTACATTGCTTTCACCTTGATAGGGTTAGGCTTTAGCTCATTGTCGTTGGCCAGATGATTAATTTTCACCTTATCCAATCAAAACTGAAGCAGAAGTGCATGACAGGAAGGTAGTTACCCATATTTAATTTGTTTTGTAGGACTACATGTTGACCTTCTGCCCAGCTAAGCAAATGGAAAGACTTCAACTGATCTCAGCAGGCTGAAATGAAGAAATGAGTTACCGAGGCTAATAATTTTGACTTTTAACTTAGCCCTGGCTTCAGTAAGCATTCAGGTAAACACGCTAAATTCCACAGTCTCTGCCCATTTAACCAATCTATAATGGTCATATGTCATGGTAATCAAAGCCAGTGACAATCAATAGCAACAGTTTGCTTTTCAGTTTAAAATTAAGTAGAAGTCAGTTATAAAAAGCCTTGCAAATTCTTTTCCAAGCGTCCAGTACACATCTTCATATATTTCCATTTAGGATAAATCTGAATAGGCATTGAATAGATTTCTACTGGCACACTCTGATGATATTCAAGGAGTAGGTGTAGCAAGCTGTGGGAACTAAGAAATTAAGAAAAATATTGCAGTGCTGTCAAGAGTAGGTGTAGACATTTTGTACCTGCTAAACCAAAATGATGGGCCTAACATTTAAAATAATATGCTGATGTAACACTCGAGCAGAAGAGTGATTTAGATAGACAATGATCTTTCCTCTGCTATCCAGTTTCCCTAATACTAGAAGGAAGCCAAATGCTTTGCAATGCAAATAGGGTGGCAAATAAAAGGATGGTGTGAAGGTGTGATTCATCTGAAAAAATGTTTCACTTAAGAAACCCCAGAAGGCAGGATATAGATCCCTTATTTAATTCACCCTACCCCCTTCTGGCTTCCCTGCACTAGTGCAGCAGTGACCGCGCAGGACTGTCCTTGTTTTGTAGGTTGTGCCTTGGGTTTCTTTGCCCTTCAGTGGAGGCTTGTCTGGAGAAGAAAACATGGTTACAAGTGTTGCTGTCTGCTGGGATTACTCTTAAATTAGGGAGCAGAATAGTTGCTAGCTGAATCCCAAATCTCTGGATAATATAGATGGCATAAAGCCTTCTTCATTTCAAGTTAATATGTGTGCTGCAACAGCAGGACAGCGTAGCTGGAGGTAGGCTTGGAGTACGGAGAGAACACCTCGCCTCGTACAACACCTGCAGAAATGCTGTTTAAAGCCTCAGTCTCATGTTCCCTTAAGAGAAAGGACTAGAAGTTCGGTGAAATGTTTCATTTTTTAATTAAGCATCTGACAGATCAACTGAATTATGAAGCTTGATTTTATGAAGAAAAAAACAAACGTAAGGAAAAAAC